TTAAGAGAGGACTTGCGTCGCTAAAGTTTCGTCGGAACGAATTTACGGAAAATCAATTAACAAACGGAGACGTAACAATATAATAAAATCAGTACAAAAACATGTGGTGTTAAAAGTATTATTAACAGCAATATATAAACAATACATATTCTGTTTAAACATATTATTAACAGCAATAGACATTGTATGTGAATATCAAAATTTAAAATTCAAAGTTGTTTTTTAAGATATTTTCAAATATTATTTATTAAATAAACCTTAAAAGTTATGTATAATTATAACATCAATATATAATGAAGCACATTAAGTCACCCACGGTGACCACCCTCGGTTATTTTTTACCTCAAACCCTTGTTTGGGGTCAAATAATTACAAACCGAAATAACTGCCATGGGTTTTGTTTTGACTACAACCAGTTTGAGTTCAATATTCATGCAGTCACGGTATCTTATAGTTCTACTAGCGACATCTGCCGGACGCATGTTTTAAGATATATTCCTGACCTTAATGAAATAAGTAATGTTACAGAACTATTTTGATCTTGATAACATGTAATCACGTACTTATGATTTCATATTTATGTATGATATGGTCCCACTATCTCTCAACTGTGACGAGATAAACGAACCAGACAGAAATACGTGTATGTAATTTAGCGAAATATATTTGTTTCTGTGGCCTATAACTGTTGAAGAGAATTTGAGGCTCTGAATACTGTAAAGTTGATTGCACAGCGTTTACAAAAATGTGATACATTGATAGATTTGTAATAAAGTTGGTAACTCTTTTGGTGGTCTTCAGAATCGTATAAAGATGTCATTAGTTGCTAAAATAGTTACGTTTGTATTTCTGCTGGTAGTCCTGAGACTCGTGGGTCTTTTGAAGTAGTGAATGTTAAAGAAATATCTGATACGTTGACAAATTTATAACACTGTTGGCTGTCCTAAAAATCGTATAAACGATCTGTCTAGTTATTGGATACTGAAATACGTCTGATATACTGACAGATTTATAACAGTTTTTTAGTCCTGAATATCGTATACAAACTTCTTTCACATATAGCTTACACTCACTGTACCCTGTTATCTCGTAAGGAATTAATCAAGTCATACACTGAAAAGGTTGTAATTCTTTTCTTTTTTATTTCTGATTCACTGAAGCACTAAACCCATCTCTTGTTAAAGTCCGGTCTGTTTTCCAGTAACGTGAAAAGTTTTATCCTTTAAAACGAAGATCTTTTTAAGTAAATATATATCTCTCAACAAGAAGGAATAAAAAAAATCTTAATTCTTTGAAATGGGTCTCTAATGAGCAGAACTTTCAAATATGTGAGTAAACTTTCTAGAAAGATTTATTAAACTAACGACAGCGGAATAAACTCCCCGAATACGTAATCCCCCAAAACAGTTTAAAATTTATATCAACATAAGAGTTTTAGAATAATAACATTTTAAGTAATTCCATCTGGGGATCATCTGTTAATCAGTGATTCGTGTGCTTGGTTGATTGGTGCAAGGTATATTACTACTAACAACAGTCTCAAACATACGTTGAAATATAGAGGTTGGGTACGCTTTATTAAAATGATTTTGGAGCTTCACAACGTCGTCACAGTCCATGCTCTAGCTAACAACCGTGTATCTGGGCACTGTAGTTTCCATTGCATCCACTGTATCTAGAGATCTGACCAGTATCTATTTATGTGGAATAGCATAGATGCCCATTTCATTCTTGAGCTACTTGGGATGTGCAGCCATTGAATAAGATATATAACTGGAAGCTTTTTCTTTTTGAACATTGACCCTGTTGACCTCATTTCCAGATGGAAATAATTCGTGCTTGTGTTGGTACTGTTGCCTTGGACACGAGGATGGCTTTTGTCACTGATTTTTATGTTCGTGGATTCTCACCTGTTACAAGACGCAGAGCTTAGGTAACGACAGCGGGAGTACAATATATTACAGGTCTCTTTCTGGATAGTCCTGGTGCACCAAGTTCATCCATATTCCTTTGTATTACAATGCCATTATGTATAAGAGCTTCATTTTGGAAATTCTAAATTTCAGATCTAAAAGTATCTTATGGTCATAGTAAATGACTATTTACATCGGAAGGGGTTGTTATATACCCTTCCCAAATACAGTCAGTTTTTGTGCATCATTCCACCCACACAACACTTATTAATGTCAAAATGTAGTTCTATTGCATGTTGATTCGCTGCGGCTTCATGTAGGCTATCGATGTTACATAACTGTCTGAATCATTTTAATATAACGTACTTGTGGCAGCAGAAATGGTAGAACACCTTGTAGGAAATATATCCGTTATTTAGTCTTTTTTTTTCTTCTGAAAGTCTACGAGAGTATACATTATTTTTTGAGGAATACAGAGATTTACACCGATCTATAATTGGGTAACATCCAAAGAAGTTATGAATTTTTTTTCAGTAGAGTAGGATGCTATTTTTACCCTAATTCAGACAATGGTCAAGGCATTTTTGTAGCACATCATCTACGGAACACAGGAGAAACAATAGTTACAGTGTGGATGTAGGTGCTTTAGGGTCCCAATTTTTCCCTTTCAGGTCTCCCCCTTTCTGTGAAACGCCAACAAGAGATGGTTCGAGGATCTAGGTAAAATGTCTGACTTACCCTACTGTACAGATTTGCTGCGTACAACAGGTCAAAAGGTAGAGCCGCAAGTAGATCTACGATGAACCAGCTACGTACGTAATGCACGGCAATAGACTTCGGCTTGGCGACAACTTCCCCCTTCCTGCTAACGAAAGTCGTTCGAAAGTTGACAGCGATGTCTGTGAGGAAGCCAGGATACAGGAGAATAAGGGATTATTTTACGATGCTTAATTAGAACTATTCTGCAAGATAACCAAAGAAATTTGGATATAGTTAGTTTGGAGGTTAAAATGAAAATTGGGTACCAAGACAAATATATATCATATATCTTATGAGTTTACAGAAAATTAAAGATAGGGTAAGTACCTCGGCAATAAATACAACTATTCCAACATTGTAAATACATGTGTTAAATCAAATCATCCCAATGTTGTAAATACATGGATTAAATCAAACCACCCCCAAAGAATGTAAAGACGTGTTAAATCAAACCACTCTAACATTGTAAAGACATGTGTTCAACCAAATTACTTCAACAGTGTAAAGACATGTGTTAAATCAAACTATTCCAATATTGTGAAAACATGTGTTAACTCAAACTATTCCAGCATTGTGAAAACGTGTTAAATCAGACCATTCCAACTGCACAGAGACAAGTTTCATAGCCTGCAATGTTTCAAGAATTAACAAGATTAGCAATACGAAGTGCCAAGAAGAATGAATAAAAACATATATCTAGAACCTTCCTTAACAATCGATATCCGAAACACTCGATAAAGCAGCAAATAAAGTAGATAAACAGAAAGAAAATTACACAAAGCCATGTTTCCCCTATGTGAGAGGTCTCTCTGGAAATATATCGATAATATTTGAACAACATAACTGAATTCAGAAGCCATAACAAATTAGGATCACAGTTAGTAAACACCAGACACATAAAGACCCGACGGAGAACAAAAATACCAACCACAATATTCCCTATGCATTGAAATTCATTGGAGAAACAAAAGACCAACAAAAAAAGTTAGAATTCAGGAAAATAAAACACACCTATAATACCGATCTATCTGCAATATAACCCATCTTGTCGGAGAAGAGGGCCATACAACAAACTGGAATATTTGCCACAAACGACAAATAAAAAAATAAAAGCAGTCTTCTATATCAACCTATCTGGCGACACATTGAGTTTTAGAAGTCAACAAAACTTGGATATTCCCCTCGAAAATATTCAGATAATTCAGTTTCTAATTGGAGGAAATCCACACTTCCACCTTCCAGAAAGTTCCTCAAGGATGTTAGCAGATTAACAGCCGAATTACAGAATAAAATCTGGTTCTTAATTAATATCTAATAATTAATGAAATAAATTAGCACCTAATTAATAATTTGACTTTAAAATAACTTCATTTTTAAGCTTTTGTCTTTTACATAGATCATTTAATGAAGCAAGTAAGGTGTTTATATAGAAGAAAAACGTCATTTATTGATGTTGTGTAGAAATTATATATACTTGTATTTAGTAAATACTGAAAGAGTCACACTCTCCATACCTCGGCAAGCATAAATTGGATAGATACGATAGGCCTACTTATATAGTTAATCACAAATAGAATCTTTGAATAGTTCCTTCTAGGAATGCCTTTACTTATAGAGTAATACATCCCTGGAACATAAATGGGATGCTAATTTCTTTATATTATTTTACAGATGCCTTTACGCTAATCATAAAATGAGAATGAAATCAAAGAATGACCATGATCAAAAGGAAAAAGGAATAAAATGTACATGCGAGACTAGGCCTAATTACTAGTGTAATTCACCAGGAAACTTAATCTCTTAATCTGCTTCCATACATTTACTATTAAGTTTAATGTACTATGAAATAAAACGTTTTGGATTTTTTAAATTCTCTGCTCTTCAGGTTAAAACTTCAATGGACTGACACGAAAATTCGGTATCAAGTTAAAACTCTACATCAGCGTTTCCCAAACTTTTTTTCGCTACTGAATACTTTTCAGCTGAGAAAACGCTTACGGAACACTAGATATGTGAAATATCGGTGTAGAGGGTATTGTGTGCGCGCAGCGCCTTCTAGATTTGTATATTATTAATTTATTTAATCAAATCACATATTAATGAATTTTTTACATTTTAATGCTTATAATATATTTTGGGTACGAACCTCTCCACTAAGATATTATGTAGAACAGATATGGCATTTTCTATAATTCTTTTTCAATGCGTAGTCGATATTATCTAATTCTAATACATAGGAAAATATTTCATAATAAGTTATGATCGTAGAAAAAGTGTTAAATATTTTATTAAAATTTAAAATCATGATTATCTCACCGAGTACTTATGAATCTCGGACGGAACAACAGTGTTCCGCGGATAATAGTTTGGAAAACGCTGCTCTACATCATTACAGATAAACGTACAAAAAAACTTACAACAGTTCATTAAGGTGAGAAATAGAAGACAAAAAAAAAAAAACGAATTTTAATTGCATGTGAATTTTGTTCGTAATTCAGAATATAAAAGAAGATTTGGCTGAGAACACTGACTTAAAGTGTTTCAACTGACGTAGGTACAATACTCTGAGGAATTTCAAATTGTTTTTGGTAATCATTAAGTTAAACTAATTATGTTCCTTATCTATCTTAATCTTAACCCACTTCTGTGAATAGGAAACGTTGCTGTGCTCATACGAAAATAAAAATAGTCTATTATCGATTTTAGAGTTTCTGTGAATATTTTAAATACATTTTGAAATACTTTTATATGTGCATATTATACTTGTTTATAACTTTGATGATGTAATAAGACATTTATTGTGAAAAATAGATAAATAAATAAATAGATTTATCGAAGGAGGTAGATTTCTATATACAAAAAGACCTGAGGGTAACTGACGTAGATTAACTGCAACCGCTAATTTCTAAATAGAGTAAGATTTCAAGGTAGAAATATAAATTAACTGTAACCGCTAATTTCTAAATAGAGCAAGATTTCAAGGTAAAAATATAAATTAACTGCAACCGCTAATTCCTAAATAGAGTAGGATTTCAAGGTAGAAATATAAATTAACTGTAACCGCTAATTTCTAAATTGAGTAAGATTTCAAGGTAGAAATATAAATTAACTGTAACCACTAATTTCTAAATAGAGTAAGATTTCATGGTAGAAATATAAATTAACTGTGACTGTTACATTTCTAAATAGAGTAAGATTTCAAGGTAGAAATATAAATTAACTGTGACTGTTACATTTCTAAATAGAGTAAGATTTCAAGTTAGAAATATATATTAATTGTGACTGTTACATTTCTAAATAGAGTAAGATTTCAAGGTAGAAATATATATTAACTGCAACCGTTAATTTCTAAATCGTGTAAGATTTTATGGTAGAAATATCCTTGCTAAAAATATTCCTCAACCTTGGTAAGAAACAACAAACGACATGAGTAAGAGACAACAATATCTTTGCTAAAATATTCCAAATCTTAGCAATGGACAACAATAGCCTTACCAAAAATGTTTCTCAACCTAGGTAAGAAACAACAAACTACCTGAGCAAGAGAAATAACATTCTTGCCACAAATAACTCATCCGAACGTTTTGTGGAAATAAACAGTTTAATTCTTCAAAAATATTACTTAAAAATACACATTTACTTTTGTCAAAATACTTAAAATAATATAAGTTTTAGATAACGTTTTTTATTGAAGTGTGCGATATGTGTATATAATATATTGTATGATTTGTAAAGATATTTTTCCCCCATTTCCGTTACCAATGTTTTGATCTTAAAGTGACTCAAGTTTGTACATTGTGTACTTTCAATGTAGAGTCTACCGTCATGAAAACGTTTCGACACACATGCGTTTGCCCTTATTACCCGAGCCGAAACGCTAGTTTGTTTGTTTGTTTTTGAATTTCGTGCAAAGCTACACGAGGGTATCTGAACTAGCCGTCCCTAATTTAGCAGTGTAAGACTAGAGGGAAGGCAACTAGTCATCACCACCCACCGCCAACTCTTGGGCTACTCTTTTACCAAC